ATTTTTTTTCTTTTTTCCCTTTCTCCTTTTTCAATATCTTTTTTTCCTTTTCTCATTTCGGTCTTTCTATATCTTGCCTTCCTTCCTTTCTTCTTTTTTATTCATCCTTTCATTTTGCAAAGAGATTAACGCTCGCTGTAGTTGAGACATGCCAGAGCTTCCAAGAATGATGTTGGTTTTCTTTCTTGTTCCGCAGACACACACTCACACACCCTTTGGACCAATTTTTTTTCCGCTGCTCTTTTTGATTTTTCTTTTAGTTCTTCTTCGTTGATTTTTATTATTTCACTTTCTCTTTAGTTCTTGGTACATTTTTATTATTTCTCATTCTCTTTCTTTCTAATTCTTGGTAAATTTATATTATTTCTCTCTTTCTCTTTTTAGAAAAATATCTAAAGCAGTTTTGGAGTGAGTTAAAAGGCGCAGGGTATTTTTTTTTCCTTCTGCGATGAAGTGATCGGAACTGTCGAGTTAAATTTACGTCATAAAATAAATTTGAGACATTTTTCTCTTTTCAGAGCGGGGCTAATGTAGTTATGTGTGTCTCTCAGACTCCTTTTGAAAGGAGGATTATAGAGATGAGCGAGAGTTGAATAGATTTGACAGATTTTGTTTTTAGTTGCGCCAAACGGATTTTGTATTTGCGTATGAAATTTATGTAATGCTGGGAATTGATATTATTATTATTTATTTTTTTTTTTTGAAGTTATTTAGTGTTTCTTTTTAGTGTTCGAATTATGAAAGGGAGAATTTGCAAAAGGTGAAAGTATTTGCAGGGCTCGAACTAGGTCCGTAAATCCCGTAAAAGTCCGTAACTTTGCTTGAATAAAGCAAAGTCCGTATAAGTCCGTTTTTTGAAAAAAGGTCCGTAAATTGTACGATATAATTTGGATAATTTTAGAGAAATTACAAATGATTGTAGAAATTCAATTATTTTCGAAAGTAATAAAATTCTTTGCAAAAATTCAATTAGGTTCAAAAATTTTTTAAAAATTCTCGTCAAAATTTCAATTATCTTTAGAAATAATTAAATTCATCTCCAAAATTCAATTATTTTCAAAAATTTTAATAAACTTGTTGTCAAAATTTCAATTATTTTCAAAAATTTTCCTCAATTCAATGATTTTCAATAGATATCTACTATTCTAATAAAATTTTTCAAAAGAATTCAATTATTTAAAAAAAAAAAAATTAATAAAATTCTACAGAAACTTTTAATTATTTTCACAAAATAATAAAAATTTCACAGAAATTCAATTATTTACAAATTTTATATGAATGAATACCAAGTTGAAGTCTACAACGTTGATCAACGAAAAAAAATTGTTTACTTAGTAAATTAATTAAGAATGACGCAGCAATATTAACACAAAAATATTTAGAAAAAAATATTGATGTTTATATTTTAATAATAATTATTTTACAATTAAATATTAAATTAAAAATAGTACTTGAATGTATTAAATAATTTTTTTTCGTTGATAAACGTTGTGGACTTCAACTTCGTTGAATGAATTGAATTTTGAAAAGGTTTTAAAATAAAATCTTGGAAAATCTGAATTTTTGATACTTCTCAACTAACAATTCTGTAGAATTAATTTTTTTTTTAAAGTTTTCGTCAAAATTTCAATTATTACCTATATCTTTTCAAATAATAAAATTCTTTTAAGAAATTCAATTGTTTTAAAAATTTGTAATAAAATTCTTGTCAAAATTTCAATTATCTTTAGAAATAAATAATTAAATTCTTCTCCGAAATTCAATTATTTTCAAAAATTTTAATAAAATTCTTGTCAAAATTTCAATTATTTTCAAAAATTTTTCACAATTCAATGATTTTTAATATCTACTATTTCAATAAAATTTTCCAAAAGAATTCAACTATTTAATAAAATTCTACACAAACCTTTAATTATTTTCAAAAAATAATAAAAATTTCACAGGAATTTCATTATTTTCAAATTTATTCGCAATCATTCAATTATTTTCATAAATAATAAAATGTTTACAGGGATTTAATTATTTTGATAAATAATAAAATTCTTATTAGGAGTTCAATTATTTTGATAAACAATAAAACTCATTGCAGAATTTCAATTATTTTTAAATAATTGAATTCTAGTAGAATTTTCTCATAAAAATTGATTTAAAAAATTTTTTTTGAGAAAGTTTAATTATTAATTTTGTTTATACTATTTGAACTTTTCATTTTCTAATATATATAGTTGAAGAATTTACGAATAATTGAAATTTCATAAAATTGAATATTGTAAACAAATGGATTTGAAAATTGTCAAAGAACTTTTTCGAAAATTATTAACAATATTCGATTGTAAGAAGAATTTTAGTAAAAAATTCTTGAAAATAATAATTGAATAATTGATAATGATTTTATCACTCGGTTATCTTTAATTATTATAAAACATGAAGAAATCGATCACTCCGAGTCTTCGACTCGGAGTTATCGATATCTTCATGTTTTATAGTTATGAAAAATTTAATTTCTAGTTTTAAGTAAAATGTTCTCTTATTTTACTTGGACTGGTTATATTTTTGTTCTTAAATGCACTGAGAGACCTTTGGGACTGTAGCGGAACAACGTATGTGACAGCAGCTCCACTTTGGTTTTGGTGCGCTGCGGTAAAATCTTGGGCGCGTGACAGTCCAAAATGTTGGTGAGCAGCTCACCGAAGTAGTGGGAATGCCGCCTTTGGTTTGCAGCTGAACAACTTTGGGACTGTCATGCGCCCAAGATTTTACCGCAGCAACCCAAAAGTATAGTCCTGTAGCGTTCCTCCAAAATGGTCAGTAGCAGCCTATCGAAAGTCTGCTGCTGACCCAAAGGTCTCTCAGTGTGGTCCGTAATTTTTCATTTTTGGTCCGAAAGGTACGTATTTTTAAATACTTTCACTGGTTCGAGTCCTGTATTTGGGAAAAATTAGTAAATATTTGAACTAATAAGAATTCTGTTTTTCTTAGAAAATAAATTTTTAAAAACCCGTATTTTGCATTAATATCAATTGGTTTTCTCTGAGTGTAAGTTAATTTTAGGATTTAAAATCAAAATTCAGTCAAAAATTATAGTTATACTTTAAACGATTTTTGAACAGAAGAGAGAGAGAGAGAGAATGATCCTAAAGTTCTGAACGTTCAAATGAACGAAATTTATTTATTTCTTCCTCAAATTCAATTTTTATGACAATAATTTTGAGTTACTATCAAACAAATTAATTTTTAAAGTTTTTAAATGTAGAATCTAAGTTTTAAATTTTTATTCGAATCAATAATTTATGAAAATATTTTTAATAAAAAATATTTCGTTCACTTGAACGTTCAAAACTTGTGATTCATGAGAGAGAAAGAAACTTGGAATATTTTTCAGTATATTTTTTGTTGCTTTTGAAAATTTGCATGAAGAAATTTTTGAAATTTTCCTCTCTATACAGTTCTTACTCTGTCAAGGATTGGAAAGAATTGTAAAGAAGGCTTGTCATTTCTTGTCTTAGTTACTGACGATGTTTTCTCGCTTTGTTCCTCTGTCGCGATCCGTTGTGCTCCCTACGGAAGGAACTTTAATCCTCGGACTACTCTTAAGGACCTGTCAATCTTGTTCGACGTTATCGCAACTCCTTCTCTCCTTGAAATCTCTCTTTCTCTCTATCCGTGCGTGTGAGTGCGAAGGCACATTTAACGTCTCTTTTATTTCCCTCTCAAAATTCATTTCTCACTCCATCTCAGCTTAGCGCGAAAGAAGAGAAATTCAAGTTGAATTAAAGAATTGTCTTCTTTTATCTTAAAATTAAAACTCGAATGTATATACAGAGAAACAATAGTCTCTAATATACTTTTACTTTTGTACAGTGTGATATTATTTTATGAAATTTATTAGAGTTAACTATATATGAAATGAAAATCAAGGAAGAATGGCAGAAGTGATTGAAACTTTTGGCACGTTGTAAAGCGACATTCGTTGTATGTAGTTGTGTGTGACACGAGTCAGATCATGTCTCTCATTGAAGAGCGTGGCACGATTCAAAAGATTGCAATGTGTGTATTGTTATATTGCATTGTATATATGTAATAATAAACTATAGACACACGAACGGGCGGTGTGAAACTTCCGTCCTCGTCGTCGTTGTCGTCGCATGGCGCGTCGATAGGATACACACGATGATAGTAGTCAGTCGTAGGTAATCCTTTTAAGTCCCTCCAAGCTGGGTCCTCCAGCTCGAATTTATAACGAGGAACCGCTTCTACTTAAATTAACTCCCGAACTTTGTCAGAGAAATTTCACACATAGAATAAGCTTACTGCTTATTAACCTTGGGGCAACAAAATAACTGCGCAACACAGCACGCGAGAGGAATAAACCTTAGTTTCCCATAATTGATCTAATTAACAAGTTCAGGATCTTAGAACTTGCTTCGTTATAGACAATGTAAATTAACTTAGTTGCAGACATATATATATGTATATAAAGAGTACGTCTATATAAAACAATGCTTATCTTCTCTACGAAAAAACAAACATTATTCATTTTTTTTAATTAATATTTTCAGGTCCCTGAAGTTATCGACGATAAGAATTTTTTTCACAAAACCTAAAAGAATAAAACAATTTTTTTCAAGTTTTGATGTTATAAAAGTACTTTGGAAAAGTGGAATAAAAGAGGCTGAGTGCCGACGCTAACTTCAAAGAGTCATATTTAAGTACCTGAAGTTAGCGTCGGCGCTGAACATCGAAAACAATTTTTTACGCGAATTGGAAAAAAATGAAACAATTGTTTCAATGATTTTAGGTTAAAAAAAGTGCTCTGTTGATTTTCTAATTCACAAATTGAATGAAATAAGTAAAATTAGTGACATTTTCATGTCTAAAAGCCCAAAAAATAGTTTTCGACATTAAGCATCGACGCTAACTCTAGAAACATAAAACCTTTTAAACAACGTTATTATTTTGGAGTTTAAAAAATAAATTTTCTATTTGTATTTTTGTTGCAGAAGATTATATAAAAAATTCGTCGCTATTGGAGTATTTATCAAGTCCCCACTTAAATGCTGTGCGGTTGACGTCGGATGAAAGGAAGCATCAGCGAACACGATTTTGTGAGTACTGACATTTACAGAAATTAGTTTTTATTTCATGAAAAGACTTCTTTTATTTATATTGAATTTGCGAATTAAATTTTGGCGACAAGTCACATTGGCGCCAAAAAAAAAACGCAATTTTTTCGGTTAAATTTTGTTACAAGTATAAAAGTAAAATTAATGAGCTAATACTTCAGAATTTAATTATGAACATTAAAAGTGTTATCGGGGCTAGGAAAAAATCCGCAAATTATTAATTTAAAAAGATAACCAAAATTCCCATATATTATGGTTGTTTCAAAAATATTTCATAAAATTATTAATTATAAATTATTTACCTAATGAATAATTTTATTTAAATATTTAAAAACTTACAATTTTCATAAATAGATGAACTTTAAGAGGCTTTAATTTAAAATTTTATAAAATTTCAATTTTTAATGAATTTAATTAGAAATTTTAAAAAACTTAGATTTTTGAAAAATTTTAATAATTCAAATTCATCTGAAATTATTTAAATTTTTTAAAATATTTATATATTTTTAATTATTATTAAAAATAATGGGTTTATAGAAGAATTTTAGTTTAAAACACTAACAAAAAATTGAATTTTTGAGAAGTTAGAAATGATTGCAGAAATTTAATTATTTTCAAATTTATTTTTATTTTTTATTATGTTCAAAAATTTTTTTAAATTCTAGTTAAAATTTCAATTATCTTTATAAATAATGAAACTCTACTGAAAAATTAAATTATTTAAAAAATTTTTAATAAAATTTTGGAAAAATTTCAATTATTTTCAAAAGTAATAAAATTCTTCACAAAAATTCAATTATGTTCAAACTTTTTTAAAAATTCTAGTCAAAATTTCAATTATCTTCGGAAATAATAAAATTCTACTGCAAAATTTAATGATTTTGAAAATTTAAATAAAATTCTTCTAAAAATTTTAATTATTTTTAAAAGTAATAAAATTCTTCGCAAAAATTCAGTTATGTTAAAAAATTTAAAAAAATTCTCGTTAAAATTTCAATTATCGTTAAAAACAAATGCATTTGAAAATTCTCAAAGAACTTTTTCAAAACTTATTAAAAATAATTAATTTAAAGAAGAATTTTAGTTAAAAATTCTAGAAAATAAGAATTGAATTGAAATGATGAAAATAATTATGAAGAAGTTATAGTAACAATATTCTTATAATATAAAATAAAGATTTTTTCATTCGGTCATATTTAGTTATTATTTCTGCATGTTTTACAATAATATTTTTATAAGTTATTGAATTTCAAACAGGTTTGAATAATCTCAATTTCCTTTGGGAAAATAGTAGGGGAGTATCGTCGAGGTTGGACCACTGTCTAGGTAGGCCACTCGCGTTTTTTTGTCAAGTTCACTAGCGCCACCTACGAGCATTTTTGTGGAAGCTTGTCTTAGTGAAACCTAACTTTTTGTTCAATTACATTTTCGGAGAATCGAAAATTGTGTTTTCTGTGACGTCGGTACAAAAAAAGCTCAAAAAAAGTTTTGTGCATCATGTGAAAAATCATTAATAAAAGATAAAAAAATTGAATCGTCAAGGCAAGCATTCAGATATTTTGTGGGATGAACAAAAAGTTTTGAACGTTCAAATGAACGAAATATTTTTTATTAAAAATATTTTCATAGATTATTGATTACAATTCAAATTAAAAACTCAAATTTTACATTTAGAAACATTATAATTAATTTGCTTAATAGTGACGCAAAATTATAGTAATAAAAATTTAATTTGAAGAAGAAATAAATAAATTTCGTTCATTTGAACGTTCAAAACTTTAACCTCCTTTTGTGGGACTCATCATTGTTGAAAGAAAATCAAAGTGAAAAATCGAATCCTGAAACGTATTTTTTTTTGGTTACAACAATTCGGTAATGTTACTTTCTGTCAAGGTCGGACACTTTGTGTTTAAAATGCGTAAAGATGAGGACGAGCTACTTCATTTGCAAAAACTGCAATTCTGTATAACTCTTAATATAATTGATCATCTTATTAATATTTTTATTTAATTTTATTAATATTTCAGTGCAAATTTTTTTTTTATTTATATTTATTTTTTTATATTGTTTATTGTTATTATTTTGTTATTTCATTAAGTTACAAGCTGTAAACAATAAAGAATCAATTTTCCGTAACTCCAAACATGTTATTTTATTTTTTAACGATTAATGCCCTTTGAATTTTAAACATGGCCGACCTTGACTGTAAGGACCACCTGGACTACAAATTTTTTATTTTTTAAATCTTTATAACTATTTCATTTTAAAACCAACAATTTACTTTGTTCAGAAAAGATGTTCCTATTAAACAGGACTTTCCAACCATATACTTCAATTGTCCAAATTCATTTTTAAAAAAAAGTTATAAACAAAAGTCAAAAAGTGGGCCGACCTCGACTATGTTCCCCTAATTATACATTTTTTTTTGTATCTAATAATAATTTTTCGAGTGAATCAGAAAAAAAGTCTTGGAAAAAGTAAAAATTTTGTCTGTAAATCGGGGAAAGAGAATAAAATTTTCGTGGCAAGCCTGTGTAAATTTTTTTTTTTGCATTGAGGTATTAATAGGCAAGTGAATTTAACCTAGAGGCTTTTATTCAAATTTCCTTCGAGTACATTGATATTATCACTTATTCACAATATGTCACGAAAGTCTTGCATGGGGAAACTATATAATATGGAGAAATAAAATAGGTGAATAATTTTTGTTTGCTTCTATTTGAGTGTCCGCGGTGTATGTTTAGACAACAATAAATGATCGGTTTGTTAACATTAGTCAGTCAACACTGATTTCAATAATTCCTAAAGTGGAAGTTGAATACCATTTGAAAATTGTATAGCGGCGCAATCATCTTGTACGTTTCGAGGCAATCCGAAACGATTCCTCAATGTATATTTCATCGAATGTTGAGGAAAAATAATGGCAATAACAGTAATGCTTGGCTTTGTGTGGCACTCATATTGAGACCTTTCACGTCAACTAGAATCGATTTTACTGTATGGAGAAGGAGAGAGAGAGAGAGAGAGAGAGACTAGGTTATGAAGTTGTCGAGAAAAACTTGAGAATCCGTAATAGACATGCATGTGAGAACACGCATAAATGTATATCGAATATATCTACATATACTGCGTGTGTAGCAAAATCGACAGAATTCACATTCTCTTTGTACATATATATAGTATAATACGTATATGCGAAATTTGAATCCAATTGTTACAGTAATATAAATTCTACCGTAAAACGACGCGAATTCGATCCTCTTTTTACAATTATCAAGTTTCCATGATTGGAATATGTTTCGCAATATATATAAGCAGAAAAGTTTCCAATCTTTTTGATAATTTCATTGAACATCTGCCTAACTTGATACATATATATTATTTCAAAAGTCCTCGTGATTTATGTTTTATCGAAAGCATTTCTACTTCAATTGAAATGGGTTTTCACGATTATTAATTGATGCAATATTCTATCAATTTTTTCTTCTTGGTAAATTTAGTGTATTTTATTTGGGAACAACCATTATTCGGAAATTGTGATCTTTTAGATTCTGTTCAGGTTTAAAATTAATTAACAATTTAAAAGAAATGAGATTATTTAAAAAAATTTACAGGGTTCGGATATCAGGGCTCGAACTAGGTCCGTAAATCCCGTGAAAGTCCGTAACTTTGCTTGATAAGTCCGTAAAAGTTTGTTTTTTTAAAAAAGGTCCGTAAAGTCTGTAAATTGTACGATATAATTTGGATAATTTAAAAAAAATTACAAATGATTGTAGGAATTCAATTATTTTCAAAAGTAATAAAATTCTTCGCAAAAATAAAATTATGTTATCTCGTCAAAATTTCAATTATTTTTAGAAATAATTAAATTATTCTCCGCAATATCAATTATTTTCAAAAATTTTAATAAAATTCTTGGCAAAATTTCAATTATTTTCAAAAATTTTCCTCAATTCAATGATTTTTAAAAGGTATCTACTAATCTAATAAAATTTTCCAACAGAATTCAATTATTTAAAACAAAATTTAATGAAATTCTAAAAAGAACCTTTAATTATTCTCAAAAAATAATAAAAATTTCACAGGATTTTCACTATTTATAAAAATTTTTTTTATAAATTTCTTCGCAATCATTTAATTACTTTCATAAATAATAAAATTTTTACAGGGATTCAATTATTTTGGTAAATAATAAAATTCTTATTAGGAATTCAATTATTTTGATAAATAATAAAGCTCATTGCAGAATTTCAATTATTTTTAATACAATTTTAATCGAATTCTTCGAAAAAATGTAATTATTTTAAAAAATTTTATTAAAATTCGTCAAAAGAATTCAATTATTTAAAAATTTATTGATACAATTCTTTATAAGAATTCAATTTTAAGAAACATGCAATTAATGATCCCCAAGTTTTGAACGTTCAAATGAACGAAATATTTTTTATTGAAGATATTTTAATAAATTACTAATCACAAACAAATTTAAAAACTGAAATATTTACGTTTAAAAACTCAGTAATTAATTTTTTGTATAGAAACGCAAAATAATTGCAATAAAAATTTAATTTGGAGAAGAAGTAAATAAATTTCGTTTATTTGAACGTTCAGAACTTTAGGATCTTTGCAATTATTCAATAAATTATTTTTTTGTATGTATTTAAATAATTGAATTCTAGTAGAATTTTTTCATAAAAATTGATTTAAAAATGGATTTCAGTTAAAATTTTAGATTATAATTAAATATTAAAAGCATTAGAGCTTAAATTTTTAGAAATAATTGAATTTTGAAAAGATTTCAGATTAAAGTCTTTGAAAATTCGAATTTTTCATATTTTTAACTAACAATTCTGTGGAATTAATTTTTTAAAAAAAAGAATAAGAATTTAATAAGAATTTACGAATAATTGAAATTTTGTAAAATTGAATTGTAAACAAATGGATTTAAAAATTCTCAAAGAACTTTTCCAAAAAGTATTACA